GGCTTTTATGCCAAAGCGACGATGGGCTTTATGCCAAATTTCCCTAATTATGGACAAAGCGACGGGTACCACATGCATAACATAGTCGTGTCTCATGGAGTCGGTTATGTTTATTTTTGAGTCTTTTGGCATTGAGTTTTATTTGATGACTTATGATGAATTGTGATGTTGTATGATACTTTGTTTTGTGATCATTTTTATGTTAAACATAAAGTGATTATGATGTGATAAATTCATGAGGATTATGCGATGAATATAACATGACGGTAAAGCGACGATATGAATTTATGGCGATGGAGTTTATATCTTGTTTTGATATGATTATGGCGAGTATGTGAAGAAATTAAAGTGTTGATTCTATACACTAAATGATGATTTAAAGTGTGTGAGATTTGGATATGTGTTAATATATTCTTATTAATCCTATATCATTTATGATTCCAAACTATTCATATATTTCATCATGCCTTTAATTATATGTTTTGGAGTATCTCACCCTTTACTTGTCTCGCCGTTGCCTTTATATTGGTAACGTGCAGGTGATCCGCGAGGATGATGTGGATTAGCTCGAGTCTCTTTATTTTGAGTCGCTCTGCTCTGATAGTAGTAACACTCGGGATTTAGGCGACGTTATTATTTTGGATATGATAGTTTATGTATATTATTTTATGACTTTATGAATTTATGTATTGATGATAACTTGTTGATGCGTATATTTTGTGAATACATCCGCTGTGCTGTGAATATTCATATGGTTATATGATGTTAATGATATGAATCGGTATATCCGACTTTTTATTTTTGTGATGTGCATTATAATGCAAAGTGATGAAAATGAATATGTGATACCTCAATTTATGTTTGGATGAAATTTTGAAACTCTGATTTTATTATTTATTGTAAGGGGTTGAATTGGGGTGTTACACTAATGCCACCTTCAATTTGCCTTGATTCTTCCTTGAACTCAGAACACGATCTCCACTTGCAACTCTGAATTTTCAATTGCTCTTTCTGCTACCAGCTTCAAACTCTTCCAAAAAAATGGCTGAACACACTCAATGGTTTATATAGAACTTGATAGAATCATCCAGAAGTTTCTCAAAGCTTCAGAATGAGGTTTTGGAATTTCAAATTCTCACCAAAATCTCATTCATGACAGTCATGGTTTCCTCTCTGTTTTGGCCTCAGCTAGCTTGCATTCAACTTCTCATGATATATTGAACATGACTAGTGGTGATTCTCCCCTTGTTTCAATCCAATGGCTCATGTATGTTATGTTACTTCATCATGAAGCAATGAGATAAAAGTCCATGAAATTGAACTCAAATCAAAAATATAATATTGCCAATGTTTCTAAAATACATTTTCCATTCAAAAAATGCTATTATTTTGCTTCATTTGCACACATATCATTTATTTTGAATTTTTGGTCTTTAATTCTCTTTAATTCTTCCTTTTTCACAATTCCTTGAATCAAGTCTCTCCTTGAGCCATTTCAATGCTTCCTTGATACATGTTCAAGGTTACAACCTTATTTTGAGCAACTTTCAAGTTGCACAAAATTTCATTTGAGATGTCTAAGTTGGTGAAAATGACCCATAACCAAAAATGACCCATAATCACAACTTCCCAAAATACCCTTGACTTGTCAAAGCCATAACTTGAGTTCTACAAATCCTATCAAGTACTTCTAGTACTCTATAGAAAGCTAAGAGGATAAGGAGCAACATTCATGTTAACCAAAAGTTCATAGGAATCATCCTTCTTGGGCAAAAGTGTCATGCAAGTTAGGTAACTTTCAAGCTCCAAATTCACATGCCTTAGATGACTTGTAACCTGTCTGGCTCATAACTTGATTTCTAAAAACCCTATCAAGGACTTCTAGTACTCAAATTAAAGCTAAGATCATGCCCTACAACAATCATGTTGGGGTCAAGATGAGATGACAATCATATCTTGAGCTAAATTTCCTTGAAGACAGGGGTCAAACTAGGGGATTTTACATTGTCAAGTCTTAGAAACCCTAGCTTGAAACTTCTCAAACTCTTCAATCATGATGAGTTGACCTTGGAATCATACTTAGAACATCTCAATGTATCCATCCATGGTCACATGGATCTTGAATTAAGTCTCAACTTCCTTCAAATCATCAGTTGACTTAGGGTTGACCCAGTCAAACCCTAATTGCACCACTCATGACTGAGTCTTCTTAATCTTGCACAATGACCTGTCTAGGCCTCAAAGTGATATTCAAATCTTCTCATGAGCTCTCTCAAGACCTCAAGTCCAACTTCATGACTTCAGAATCATCTGAGGGCTTTCCATAACTCTAAATTTAGGAGACACACACTCTTGGTTTCAATCACTCTCTCTGAGGATCTTTTAATTTCTCTGACAAGGATATCAACCCTTGAACATCTGAACAAGTCTTCTTAACTAGCTTCATAGCCTTGTCTAGCTCTTGATTGGTAATCATACCTCTTGATCTCCTGCATACATGTCAATGAAATGCAAATGATAATGCTAATGTGAATGAAATGAAACATAAGTTAGGTAAAGAAATGTTGGGCAAATTTTGGGGTACAACAGTATGGTTTCCGATTAGTGATAGTTTGAGTTATTGAACTCAAGCGACATGTTACCATATAGTGCAAGTATTGTGAATTCAAGTTTCCTCCTTTTTTCCCTTTGGGACTTGAAATTTAGGTGGTTAGAGTCTCGTAGCGCCGAGAGGACCTATAAGATAGGGAACTCACTGGAATTATTATCTCACCCCATGTTGTTGATTATTTTTCAGGTAGTTCCGATTCGACGAAGGGTAAGGAAAAAATATCTTGATGTCCTTACTTATCTCACTTTTTGGATGATTTTCCGCTATGAAGATTTTGTTTTGAGATCATTCTTTAATGATCTAGTTCTTAGTTTCATTTTGGATATCTTGTATATATTGTGCCACTTTTAATTGTTTTGTTTTGGGTATGTAATATGTACAATGTGTCATTAGGAACTTGTATATTTCAGTACCAAATTTGCAACTATGTATAATATGAAAAATTCTAGACATATATTATATATGGATGTTACAACATGCATATATGAAGATAATACTAGATGCATCAAACAATTGAAATATAGTTACATTAAAAGAGACCGAGCAAAACACATTTCTCCATACTTCCTATTCACTAGTGATCTTCAGAAGAGTGGTGATATAAGCATTTAATAAATCTATTCCTGTAATTATCTTGCATATCTTTCTATAAAAAGTCACTCCCGAATAAAATTTTAACCAACTAATATAAAAAATTAATCTACATCATCAAAGAAATGATTGTTCAATTGAGAGAGAAAAATAAATTTATCTTAAAAAAAATTGTACTAATTTTTCTTTACAATTTTTTTCCACCAAAGTTTTGTAAATAAAATTTTAACAAAACATATCCTAATCGATCGTTCAAGATGAGTAATGGATGTTAAATTGTTTGATTTTAATATCTTAATAATATTTTTGTTTTTTGTAATAATTTATATTAGTTATATTGTCTGTGACTTTAATATCTTATAAATAGAACATATATCATTATGTAAAATACTTATGAATACGATACAATAAATATTTTGATCTTTATAAACTTTGAACTTTTTTCATTTTAGTTTATAAAATTGCTCTACTTAAGCACAATTTCTTATAAATGAAAAATAGTTATTGAAACATTTGTATGGTTAATAATTCTAATTTATCTCTTAGATATTCCATTTTCCTACTCAAAACGTACATACATTTGCATTGTTATTGAAGTTGAAATCCTAGTTAATCATTCCCTACAATTTGGGGGTTTGTAGTACTAATGCATTGATGGTGTCACTATGACTCTCCCTTCTTAAGTGGCGTGCATAACTTAAAGCCCCACAGAAGGTTTTAACAAACTTTGAGCAAATGTAATGTAGCGGAATGACCCCATCCCACTTGGGTTAGGTTGTAGTACAAAATAGCTCGTGACTTCTTTTTGTCAAAGCTAAAAGACAAAGACGAAGGCACCAATTATCTGTCACAGTTTTATGAAAAAATTATTAGTCACACCACTTATGTTTATTAGTTTCTTTTCACATTTCTGAAATGACATTTTATTTGCTCAAAATAGTGGAGAGATTAGCTAAAGTTTAATGTAATGATCCTTAGAGCCGCTCGTGATGATCAATATAGTATCAAAAGTCTTTTGAACAAAAATGTTCAGGCGATGTGTTCCTTTTGAGTAAGAGAATAGTCCTAAAAATGAAACAACTCATACTTAAAAAAGAAATTGTTGATATATAAAAACAAAAATAATTCTCAAGTTAAATTGAAAATTAGTTGTTAAACAAATAACCCACAAACTTAATCTTAATGATTTAAAGTTTTCAGTTAAAATGTTGTGTCCAGGTCATTTGGATGATTGTTCAAGGTCAATATAATGATCTCTGAATCCCTAATCACCCAACAAATTAGAAACTAAATTGACTTATAAGATCTCCATCTATATAATCATATTCATAAATGTAACTCTTATAAGATCTCCACCTATATAATCAATCATATTCATAAATGAAACTCTTAAAATAAAAATTCTATAGACCTACTATCTACCTAAATAAATAGGTGAAAATATTGTTAAAAATAATGTATTATGTGTGTTATAGAGTCACACATTAATTATAAGTACGAAAAGTTAAATATTATAAGAGAAAAAATTTATACACCTACTCTCTTAAAATTTTAAGTAAATATGAGATATCTCTCACTTGTGTTTATGTTGCTCTTGGTCCCATGAACCTTTGGTTATCTTGGTGTCCTAACTGAATATCCTAATCAAAGCGAGTTAATAAAGAAAATTATTTATTTTCAAACTTCCACAATTATTAAATAAATTAAGTACAAATGAAAGCAATTTTGTTTTTAAATTATTTAATTTAATATTTCTTTACAATTTTTTAAAACATATCTAAATTAGTGTTTGCTTAAGTCATGAACTATTGTATGATTTTGTCCTCCTACTTATCTCTTTCTCTAGCTCTTCTAGTCCTCCCACCTCTTCAAGTTCCTGCACAACAATATTTGTTTACAACCCATTACTTATCATAACACACAAGATATGAAATGGTACATATGAATTAAATTCTTAAAAAAAATATATTTTTTTAAAACTTTTCTTATGTAAATATATATATATATATATATATATATATATATATATATATATATATATATATATATATATATATATATATATATATATATATATATTATTTAAGTGGTTTGTTTTTTTTTAGTGTCAACTAGTTTTGTGATCAAAATTTAGCTTTTAAAAATAAACAAGTGAAATATCAAATGTTTAAATCAGATATCTTATATCTTATGCACATCTATCAATTGAGTTGATTTCAACAATTTTATTTATAAAAAAAAAAAAAAAAAAAAAAAAGAAAGATAGAAAAATACAGCTGTTACCTTTGGTCCCAAAAACAGTCCATATGGGACTCCATTGAATTTGTCTGAATGGTGAAGCTGAAAACAAAAGACAACAGAATCATGGGTATCAAACATTGTACCTCAAACCAAAACAAATACACTTCATAATAATAATAATAATAATAATAATAATAATAATAATAATAATAATAATAATTACTTTGTGGGCTGCGGCTACCCTTCTGAAATAGGGTACATTGGCAATGGGACCCACTGGGAATCTCCTATGAACTAAACCGTCATGTACAAACATGTAGGCCATTCCAAAAACTGTAATACCAAGACCCTGCTCATAAACGAGGGGTATCATTAGTAATAGTGTTTGAGTATAAGAAAAAAATTCACTTTTAATATATAATAATAAATAAAAAAGACAGTTGAAAAAATAATAATTATTTTTGCATTAAAAAATAAGAATGATATTTATTATAAAAAAAATTTAAAATAATTGACATTCCTTTAGTTTCAATAAAAACAAAATTAATATTGAAAGGGAGGGAATATCAATTTTAAGATACACTGAAAAAAAATTCAGTTTACGGCAAGAGTAGCTAATAGTAAAAGAGAGAGACTTACCGCACCGAAGCAAAGACCAGGAATCAATCCTTTGTGAAAGAAACCAAAGTTAAGGAGAGCGATAGCAGGAACAGCATTGATTATCGCAAAAACATCGTTCAACTCGAAAGCTCCTTCTCTTGCTCTATGATGGGACTGCAATTTCAACCAACCAACAAACAAAATTTTCATTTTCTGTTTCTTTGTTTTCTCTTGCCTCCACGTATCAAATACATCAATGGCTTATTATTATTATTCAAAAAGCGCCAAATATCCTAATCACACATTTTTGAACCGTGTGGTCTTAAACTTAGGTAGAAAAAATCAAATTCAAATTAAACACCACCAACAATTTTTTTATCAGTTGACACTAAAATTCTTTACATCGTATTGACACCGTAGCTATTGCAAACCAATTTTACTGTGACACAAAAATCAGGGAAGAAAAGAATTATAAAAAAAACAAAGATATGTCAAACTATATATAAATAGAGCATGTTGTAACTTTTTGGGTTAATCCTAACCTTTCCCTTTTTCTATACCTATTTTGTTTCTTGAATCACTTAGAACATGTAAATGGAAAAAATAATTGGTAGCATATATAATAATACCTCATGCATGTGCCATAAGGAAGCATGCCAAAGAGCCTTGTGAGCCCATCTTGCCCAAAACTCCATTCCAACCTAAAAATTGTAAATACCCAATTTAATTTATTAACATCCAAAATTAACAATACACTAATGAAAATAATAGAGTTTAAATTTATTACTAATTTAAAGGAAAAAAAGCAAAAAAATCAGTATTGTCAGTTAGAAGTTTTAAATTTGAACACAATTCTTAAAAATTCTGGAATCCTCTACGAAAGAATGTTTAATTTTTTCTTTTTACAGTTTATTTTAGTTCTCTATACCTTGAGGCATTAGGGATTAGTATCTGTTGTTATGCGCATAGAATAATCGATTTTTATCAAAAACAATAAAAAAACAAAGTTTGATTGGTGAGCACCGTCACAAATAAACGCCAATCAAACCGCTTAAAAAAATACATGCACCCAATCATTTTAAGTTTCACCATCTTAATTTTAACTACAAGAAAAAATCATATGTGTTTAAATCAAATTCTGACCAAATACATTAAATCAAACTCTGACCACATACATAGAACTTTTTATTTATATTTAAATATTTGAACACATGAAGATGATGTGTAATTAAAATATTTCTACAATATTTATGGTAATGCAATGCATGTGTATGCATACCAGTTAAGCGCTTAAAAAAATATAAATTTAATTAATACAAAAATTAAAAATCTTTGAAAAATTAGAAAAATATATATACAGCTGAAAATTTGCAAATTATTAACCAAAATAGATTGAAACTTACAGCAGCACCAACAGATAGAGCAAATGTTCCAAACATTTCAGACCAAGGAATTTCTCCACTGCCCTAAGTAAACAAAACAAACCAAATTTCAGATTCAGATTCCGAATCATTATTTCATTAAAAAAACAAAACAAAACAATACAATGTACTACATAAACAAAAACAAATTTAAGGAACCATCACAGCACTTACCTCCATTTGCCATGAAAATCTTAAATAAACAGACAAAACACCCAAAGATGTTATCCCAAGACTTGACATAACAGCTGCAACAAGATACGTCAATCTCTCTGATTTTTTCCTTGCCAATTTCTCTTCTATTCTTGGTGACACGATTAAAATGGGTGGGCTTTTTTCTTCTTCAATTTTCAATTGGGTATCATGTTTTGAATCTTTCATGAGAAGACAAAGGGCAAAACTTTTTAATCTTTGGGATTTTAGGTTTGTTCTGCATCTTGAAGGAGAAAAGATAAGTGTTGGGTTTGGTTTTTGAAGATGAAGAAATAGAGGTTTGTAGTGACGGTTTAAGGGTTTCAAGGTTATAGTGGCGGTTAGTCCTGTCGCCATAGGTGAAGTATGGTTTTTTTAGGTGTTGAAAAAATTTGATTTTTGCTTTTGTAATTGTTAAGGTTTGTTTAGAGAAAAAGAGAGATTGTGAAGATGGAATTGTGTTGGAGTGCAGGTTTAAAAGGAGGAAGAAGAGAGACCATAGGTTTTTCTTGTGATGTGTTAGAAGTGTGTGGGACATTTATTAAGGTGAAGGTGTTTTTTTGTATGTTGGAGGATTGTGGGGCCCATCTACCTCGTGGAACCTTGCTATCCTTTTATGGCGGCATGTTTACCTTTGACAATTGTTATATTATATTGGAGTTTATTTATTTCAAAATAACTCAATCAAACTAAACAAATTAGTTATTTGAAGTGTGAAGTGATACTACTTTTAAATCTATAATTTAAGCGGTTTGATTTGATTGCTGTTTTGTTTTTGATTTACTAAGTGGATTTTTATGAGATAGTCATAAACATACGGAGCCTGCTAGAGATTGAGTTATAGAATTTATTTTTCATTTTGTATTTATATCGGATTTGTTATGAAAATCAACTATTAAGAATGCATCATATTTCACTTAATTATTCAACATTAAAAATTTAAATTTGACTTTCATCTAAAGGTAACAATAAAAATGAATAGGGTCAATCAAGATTGTGTGTTTTTTTTCTTTTAACGTGATCTGCTACGAAATTAACTAAAGTTTAAATTTTAAAAATTTTCTAAAATTCATATGTGATATCGAATTCAGAGAGTTTAATGATTCGTTTTGTCATTCTTAAAATATTGTCTTAACTTAACTTGCGTAATGGTTACGAGGGTTGATCCGATTTTTTCTTTCTTATGTACCTTTTCTTTGGACCATGTAATTCCTCATAAAAAATGTCAATTGATTTATGAGATATCTCATCTTTCTGCACTATGAATGACTCTATCAGTCGCAATGGATACAAATATGTAGATGAAAAGGGTCTCCACCGACGTTCAACCTGGACAAGATGTGAAGATGAGACAGCACTTCTTTGAATTTAGAAACAAAATCCCACCTAGTTGAAAACAAAATTATCTCGTGTAAAGCAAAATTTGTAAAAAAACAAAATGAAAGAAAAAGTTTTCTCTTCTATCATATTTTTGTATTGAATCCATTATACCATGTAATATAATATAAATGAATATAATTCATTACTAATAACGTACAAATTTAATTGGAGGTTTTTTATATTACGTAAATTTTATTTCATTTTATATTTTATAGTGCACAATTTTCTTTAAAATAGTACTACTATATCAGTTTTCGACATGGGAGCCTGTTATTTTTCTTAAAAAAAATGAAATTCTATTATTTAATGTGAGATAAAAATAATTTGTGAGTATTACTTAAACAACAATGTTATATTTACTGTTAGAACAACATAAAACATAAAACCAGAATTTTGAAGATAGTAACAATGATGAAAAGAATTGAGAGAAAGAGAGAATATGGAAGAGAGTAATATTGGATGAATCACTAAATTGACATTAACCATGAATTGAGATTACAACAATGTATATATACACATGAGAGAATAGCACAACTAATACAAAATACAACTAAAGTGTCATGCTGTTAAAATCTGTTATTTTGGAAAACTAACACTTTTCAAAACAGCTCACAACACACCACCTCACTTTAGTTGCTCCAAGTTCATCATGCTCAAGCTATTCAACAGTCTCTTGAACACCTCATTTGTCACACTCTTGGTCAACAAATCCGCAACTTGGTCCTCGCTTCGGCAATAGCTCAATTTAAGCTTTCCATCACCGACCAATTCTCTCAAGTAATGAAACTGCATCTCAATATGCTTGCTCCTTCCGTGTGCAATTGGATTCTTCGCAAGATTTATCTCGGAAACATTATCCACAAATAGTGTGGTGGCATCATCATCACCACATCCCAATTCCTTCATGAGATTCACTAACCACATAGCTTGGCAAGCACTCAATGATGCCGCAATGTACTCGGCCTCACAAGAAGAGAGTGCTACAACCGGTTCCTTCTTCGAACACCATGAGATTGGTGTACTACCGAACATAAAGATGTAACCCGCCGTAGATTTCCGATCATCTTTATCTCCGCACCAATTAGAATCGGTGTAGCCAAGTAAAGTACATTTGCGACCCATATCCGATGTGGGAAACAAAATACCACAACCAAGAGTACCTTTCACATATCTAAGGATTCTCTTGACCGCCGCCAAATGAGACACCTTAGGTCTCTCCATGAATCTACTCGCAATACCGACACTAAAAACCAAGTCTGGTAGAGTATTGCACAAATACCGTAACGATCCAATCAAACTCCGGTAAAGTTTTGGATCCACATCATCCTCATCATCACTTTTGGACAGCTGAACTCTAGCCTTACAAGGTGTATTAGAAGCATTACAATGCTCCATTTCACACTTTTTCAAGATATCTAGAGCATACCTTCTTTGATGCATAAGCAACCCCACTTTTGACTTGTGGAACTCTATGCCAAGAAAGTATCTCATGACACCAAGGTCCATCATCTCAAACTCACTCATAAGCTCCACTTTGAACTTTGAAATACTCTTGTCATTGCTGCCCGTAATCAAGAGATCATCAACATACAAGCATAGTATGATAATACCATCAATAGTATCCGATCTGACATAAACACCATATTCGGATACACACCGTTTGAAATCGATGTCAATAAGAAAACTATCTATATGTTTGTTCCAAGCTCTTGGAGCTTGTTTCAAACCGTACAACGCTTTGTGTAGCTTATAGTACTTCCTCTCTTGATTTTTGATCACGAAACCGGGTGGCTGCCCCACATAAACCTCCTCATCAAGACGACCATTCACAAACGCATATTTCACATCCATTTGATAAATCACCCAATTGTTGTTATGCACAATCCCAACAACCAAACGAATAGTCTCCAATCTAGCCACCGGTGCAAATATCTCCTCATAGTCTATACCTTCACGTTGCAAGAACCCTTTCACCACTAAACTAGCTTTGTGTTTGATTATTTCACCTTTAGAATTTGCTTTGACTTTATAGACCCATCGCACACCAATCAGTTTCTTTCCATGTGGTAAATCGACCAACTCCCAAGTACCATTTTTCTCAATAGATTCCAGCTCCTCTTTCATTGCACATATCCATTTAGGATCACTTAAGGCTTCCTTCTCATTTACCGGTTCAGATTCGGCCATAGGTGCAAAATGAATAAGATCACCATCACTATTCACTTTGTTATCTTGGAACCTCTCACAATCTCGGAATCTATGAGGTAAGGCTCTTTGCCTCACTGGTCTACCATTATTCACAACATCATTGTCAACTACTGTAGGTACAGGAACAGTGGCATCGGAACTCTCCGAATCAAACAAATCAACAAACTGCTGTTGTTCAGCAGGCTGTAATCGGTTAGCAGCATTGGCATAATCGATTACACCTGCTGTTTCAACAGTTTTTATTTCATCAAACTGCACATCCCGGGTTATCACGATTTTCTGATTCCTCTCATCAAATAGCTTGTAACCTCCAGTAGAGTGATATCCAACAAATATCAACTTTTCACCTTTATCGTCCAACTTTTTTCTAAGTTGATTCGGTACATGACGATATGCAATCGATCCAAAAACGCGCAAGTGATTCACACTTGGTTTGAAACCACTCCAAACCTCTTCTGGTGTGATATTCTCCAACTTCTTAGTAGGACACCTATTCAACAAGTAGGTGGCTGTAGACACGGTCTCACCCTACAATTCTTTAGGCAACTTCTTCCCACAAAGCATACTACGCACCATATTCATTATTGTACGATTTTTCCTCTCGGCAGCCTCGTTTTGTTGAGGCGTATATGGAGGCACCACCTCACGCACAATACCCTCAAGATCACAAAACTTCCCAAACTCACTAGAAGTATATTCACCTCCACCATCCGCTTTGAGAATTTTGAGCTTCCGACCGCTTTGACGCTCGACCATGGATTTGAAACTCTTGAACACTCTGAATACTTCATCCTTTCTCTTGATAAGATATGTCCAAAGCTTCCTACTAAAATCGTCAATGAACATAACAAAATATCGATTGCCGCCATAAGTCTCTATTTGCATTGGTCCACAAACATCTGAATACACCACCTCAAGTAAGCCTTTGGTTCTTCGACCCGCATCCTTGCTAAATACATTCTTGTGTTGCTTACTTGTTATACATTCCTCACATAATTCTGTCAGAACATTAATATGTGGCAGCCCCGTTACCATTTCACTTTGTTGCAACATTTTGAGATCCCTAAAATTAAGGTGACCAAGACGGTAATGCCATAACCACTCTTCTCTACTTACCGCGGTATCCAAACAACGATGCTCCATAACCTTTAACTCAACCTTAAAAGTTCTATTGGCAACCATCGGCGCTTTTAGAATCAACACACTATTTGAATCTAAAACGTGTAACATCTTGTTCTCCAACCAAATTAAGTAACCTCTTTAAAGTAATTGGCCAATACTTAAAAGATTACACTTAATTCCCGGTATGTACAAGACATCTTTGATCCTAGAATGTCCACCATTCTTCCTTTCGATCAAAACATCTCCTACCCCTTCGGCGCTTAAAGTGGTGTCGTCGGTAAACTTGACTTTGCTCTTTGCCGCTTGATTAATTTGCACAAACCAATCCTTTCGACCCGTCATATGTGTTGAACAACCGGAATCCAAGTACCACTCATCTTTACTTTGAACTCCATCACGCATGGTAAGTAATGCATTTCGACCCGAGCGCATTTTTCCACCACTTTCCAAAACAGTACAGCTGTTGTTCCGCAAACTATCACCACAGTAGCTGCTGCCCGGAGCATCAACAATGCCATAATTCTCCTCCGTAATCATCACAAGAAGGGTATCTTCATCATCTACCTCTTCCCTAGCAACCTTAGCCTCATCAGCATCTTTTTCTTTGCGTTTTGAGCGACATTCTTTTGCAAAATGCCCAAGCTTTT